AAACTAATATCACAATCACTGGCAAACACGAACGTTTCTGGATCACTCCCTTCTTTTTCCAGAGTTTCTCAGAGTCGAATTTGCAATATTGTTTTCGTTCCGGATGATGTCTGAACACAATACAATCTTTATTATTTTATTTCAGACACAACGGTATTGTCATTTTCTTCGTACTCTTTCCATATGTTAGATATCACATTGCTAATTCATAATATTAATAGGGAACTACGCTTGGGGTGCCTGTTGGGTAGATTGAGTAGCTTAAAAGGTAGAACAGCCGGTTTCAAATCTAAGAAAATGCTTTTCTTTAGACTTTTTAGGCAGCGGCATGAATAGATGGATCAAAGAACCAAGCCTTGGTCACTTGTAGCCGAGGCATTACAATATTGATACTAAATTGCCAAAAATGCTATTTGCAACATGTCAAAAAAATTGCAACATCTCAAAAGAGCTAAGTCACAAATCTGAAATTTTCATCGATCCAACGTTGTCGTTTTTGGGACCATAGAAGTCGGTATGAGTGGAGATTAAAAGATGAAATTCGTCGATACACACTTCTCTCATCCAGTCAACACCAATGCAGCCGAAGAACGAAATCTGTCTCTAACACTTATTTATCTTCACGTTCGTTAATCGCTCGAGGACGTTTGCTTCTAGGGCGACGTTGTTGGTTATGTTCTTCACACCACGCAATCCATGCTTGAAGAGTTTCACTTCAATCTTCGACCAATTATACGAAACAATTCACCTTCTTTCAAACTCAGATAATTGGTTAAACCGTGGTCTTCTACCAATTCTAGGCACTGTTAACAATCGAAGAAGTGTGATGCAGTTTTTAACTTTTCTGTGACAGATTGTCTGTTTCACAGCAAAAAACACATACAAACTTGCAATTCTTTGTGTATCGATCCAGTTCTTTTGTTAAGAATCCAGCTTGATGACTCATTTTTTTCGAAGTGCTGTAATTTTTTTGACACTTAGTGTATAAACACAGTAATATTTCTTCAATAAAGTATATTCTACTGCCTCGGCAGCTAGCGTCCTTGGCTATTATTTTATTAACAGTACATATTGTAAGAGTTGCGCTAATATTTTTTTAACAAACTAAATTCTACTGCTACTACGCTAATTTCTCTTTAACAAAGCAGATTCTACTACTTCGGCCGCAAGCGACGTCGGCTTAGTTCCTTGTGATGAGACCAAGGTTATTTGCGGCCGAGGCAGTGCTACATATTATTTGGATTTGGGTTGATATGATAATAATTGTGATTCCTTGATGCATCGTCTCTTGTAATTAAACCGAGGTAGTGCTACATGTTATTCGGATTTGGGTTGATGTGATATTAATTTTAATGCGACCTCGGCTTGGTTCCTCAGGAAATGGTTCAAAGGCAACAACTTTAAAATTAACAAATCGACAGATCTCCAATAACAAATACTGTTATTATCCAGCTCCTCTATCATCACTTAACCCGTTTATGCCCGAATTAATTTGTATTAGATTTTTGTGTTTCCAGTGTCATTTTGGTGCAGCTTTTATATTTTAGAAAATAGTATTTTTTCGTACTTTTTTTTATTGTTCCATTAATGAATCAATGGGCATGAACGGAACCATATACTTTCTCAATAAAGTCAATCAAATCAACATAAACCTTAACAATAAATGCATTGGAACTATTTATTGTCCTTTATCTTGTGTGGAAGATTTTATTTTTCTGGGTGGATAATCTATTGGCTACTTTTTTCAAATCGCACTTGCGTTGGCACTCTTGAAGTCAATTTATAGGAAGATGAACGTTCTCTTCCTGAAGGGGGAATACCATATTTTTGTAAATACGTTTGCATAACTATTTTTCGAAAATGCAAATAATCCATTTTTTACCCAAGTCCTTTTTTATATACACTGACCGGCAAAAAAAACCGGCCATTAAAATTTAACCACAATTTCAAAGCTGGGTTACTCGCGAACCACTCATTCGATTTTGATGATTCTTTTTTTGATCGAAAGGTTGATTCTTCTGTAACAATCCTGCAATAGAAATTTTTATTCGGACATTAATTTGAGCATATACGGGGTGTAAGAATGAGAATAACTTTTTTTCTCGAAATTTGTAATACCCTGTGAGGTGCAGATGCTACAGCAGAGGGTGTTAACTCGAATCAAACGGTAGCCCAATCTTTTCTGAACAGTTTGCTTTTTTATTCACTCTATTATCTCTATTACTAACGAAAACAAACAAGCATAACAAATCTAAGGTGGAGCGCTAGGTAGCGTATGAGAGTTGTTTCGAATAGTAAATTGACAGTTGTTAAAGATGCCGTTGTCAGTAACTGATGTTGCCCGTATTGTTACTTTCTGAGAAATCGTAGAACGACAGTTGTAGAAACTCGGCATCGTCCTCAAATGGTGCATGGGGTTGATGTAAGTGAAAGAACCATTCGTCGAAGACTTGCTGAAAGTGATCTGACTGCAAGAAGACCTGCCAAAACACAGCGCCTACTCCAGAGACATCGGCGAGCACGTCTTCAATTTGGGTGCGTACATACGAATTGGGGAATGGAACAATGGGGTAATGTGCTCTTCACTGATGACGTTCACCTGATGGTCGAGAATGAGTGTGGAGATGTCGTAATGAAAGGTTTGCGACCTGCACAATTTCGGAAAGAGTACCTTTCCATGCAGGTTCGGTCATGATACGGGCGCGTATTTCGACGGAAGCGCATACAGCGCTCATCTTTGTTGAAAATGGCACGCTAAATGCCCACCGTTATATCCGAGATATTCTGCAAGAAGCTGTCGTGTCCTACTTCCATTTTATTGTTGAACCACTACTCATCCGTAAAAAGGACTTTCCTCCATTGCTCGGTTTCCCAATTGACATGTAAGCGCGCAGATTGAAGACGGGCTCGTCGATATCTTGGAAGCAGCCTCGGTCCTTTGGCAACCTTCTTGCAGCCAGACTACTTCTAGCAAGTTTTCAGCAAATGGTTCTCTCACTGACACCAACAACATGCACCATTTGAAGACGACGCCGAGCTTCTATAGCTGTCGTTCTACGATTGCTTAGAACCATAAAACGGTCATCAGCTGCTATTGTCACTCATCTTGTTTACACAGGCGATCGCTTTAAAATACAGCATCTTCGTTAGTAACAGAGATAATAGAGTGAATAAAAAAAGAAAATGCTCAGAAAAGATTGGGCTACTGTTTGATTCCAGGTAATACCCTCTACTGTAGCAGCTGCACTCCACAGGGTGTTACAAAATTCGAGAAAAAAAGTTTTTCTCATTTTTCTCACCCCGTATATGTTCAAATTAAAATCTGAATGAAAATTTTATCGCAGGATTATTACAAAAGAATCAACTTTTCCATTAAAAAAAGAATCATTAAAATCGAATGCGCGGTTCGCGAAAAAGCCAGCTTTGAAATTGTGGCTAATTTATAGTGGCCGGTTTTTTTTTGCCGGTCAGTTTAGTTGCCATCCGTTGTGCACTGAAATAACGACACAAAACGCAAAAATTGCCAACCACCACTTCTTCGATCTAATGGAAATCCTGTAGTTATCTATGTTCTTATTGTATTGAGCTACTACATGAGGTTATGCAACTGGCAACCTTTTTTTCTGTTTTGATATCCACCTTTTCACTCTACATTCTGGAATTGTAGAATCATAAGTATTGACCATCAGAACTATTCTATTATCATGGCAGCTTATAACGGTTAGTTTATTGGCAACATCTGTACTATAGTTCCCGTATATCCTTATCTTTTTCCTGTAAAGGAGTTACTAGTTTGTTTTGGTAGGACTTTTATAAGTCCAAGTACAACAGGTTCCCCTACACCAAATGCTCGTTCCTTTATAGTTGGTTTCCTTACTTTTTTTTTATCTTATCATTTCGAATCTATTTCTTCTCATAGAATTCACTAGTACCATATTGCAAGATTCGGTTCCTAGCTGCCACCACATTCCGCATCTAGGAACAACACAATAGACAGGGTCGGCCAAACAACCCTTTTACTGTGCATATAACGTCGTCATTTCTGCCAAAAATGATATAATACTATCATCAAGAAAAAGTTCAAAGCATTCCACCGGATCAGAAGGAATGGGTGCTGATTGCATCAGTTTCTCAAAGTTCGTAAACCCAAAAATAAGATCGTATTTTTTTCGGTAACTTCTTTTGTATTTCCGACAAAAGTTCGTTGTCACTATTAGACTCTTCGTTAGTGTCGCTATCAGCAATTGTGAAAGTCCGTCCTTGATTTATAATTTTCGCCATGAAGCTGTCGACCATCCATTTATTGATGTCGTTGCAGAAGTCTTCATTGCTGTTATCTTCAGCACCATCATCTGAAGGAGTAATCAAAACACCAGCAATCCAAAAATCATCGTCTTCTATTACTTGAATGAGTTCTCCAATTGTTATAGTTCCAATATTGGAACTTTCGGAAAAAGTTTTTTTTTTGTACTTATCGTATTTATGTGTTGAGAATTGTTAGGGCAATAAACACAAAGCAAAATAATAGATAATATTAGTTTAAAAATAGAAAATGTCACTTACCTTTTACTAGCCGTTTTAACGACGCACAATAATTCGTCAAACAATCACTGTCACTAATCAACATGTTTATTAGAAACGTGTTGCTGCCTGCAAAATCACGTTGTGCCTAACAACAAAGCGTGGAGGGGGTGTTCCATTCTTGGAACTGTGGGCATAACCGGGTTAAATGTTACTTTTTCCACTTAGACTAAATTAGACCGAGCGAGAAAAGCAAGCAAAGATCTACACATAGCTGAATCTACTTTCCATTGGCGCCAACAAAATGCAGACTCACGATCAGATTAGACTTATCTAATAAAATAATCTTCTTAATTGCTCTCAACAACTTGATGCAGTCATTCAAGCAATGTTGTGTTAAATATTGATTAAAAGTAATTTAAAGAGAATTGTCAAAATAAATGAAATACAAATATATATTATAATTATATTCAACTTACGTTTGCCCCAATATATTTAATCATCGCCTTAACTCTTTCCCGTTCAATTCCAGTAAACCCACAAATACTAATTAGATGTTTAGACGCGGGTTGAGAATCCCAATACATTAAAGGCAAATGTAACGCAATCCACGGCGGCAAAACCTGCTTCTTCTCCAACACATCCGAGAGCCAATACAGCGTCACGCATCGTTTACAATCGCGCAAAGCTTGCATCACGACACCATGCCTTTGAGTTTCGCAAATTACATGCGTAACCCGAGTACAATATTGCCGCTCGATTTCACCTCCGTAACGTTCGATGCGTTTCCTCCAATTTGGCACCGTATCTTGCAAGTACTTCTCAACTTCGACCACGACAAAAACGCAACCCGACAAAAATTGATCTGGGGGAACTAAAATAAAAATTTTATTTAATAATAACATACAGCGTGGCCTTAAAAGAAGTACAGAAAATAGTACTACATTTTTTGGTTCAAAAGATTATAATTAAGAACCAAAGAATCTCGTGGTACCATTTTCTGTACTTCTTTTCAGGACAACCTGTAGATTAAATATTTAAATTTAAGTAGAATTTACGTTTTAAATTTGGGTTATGTCCATAATAAGGTCCAGGACGATGTTGTAACGGAACACTACTCCTCGGGGAATACTGCAACTTCCCCGCTCCGATTTCGTTTGGAACAACGGGAGCGGCTGGAACGCCTTGGCTCGGTGGTACCGGGGGTGGTCGAATCAAATCGGTTGGATTCGGCCTTCCACCTCCCGCGCCGGTGATGATTCGGCGTTGTTGTAGCGTTAAAATATCTGGAGGCGGAGCGCGATTTTGCGCCGAATTCAACGCCGCGTTGTGTTGCGCCGTCATTAATCGCAAAGTTCCCGCCGCGGACGGTTCCGGAATACCCGAAGTGACAGCTGCAGCTTCGGGTAAAGTTGCACCGCTCGCCAATCGCGTACTTAACATATTCGCAAGCGCCGTTTTCGTTTTTGGATTGACAACGAGCGGGTTTTGTTGGTTTGCGTCTAAAACTAACGATGGGTCTAAAGTTGGACCAATCGGTCTTAAATTGGGACCCTAAAGTAAAATTATTAAATCAATTTTAAATTAATTAATTTATTAATTAATTACTTGTACTAATCCTTTTTGGGCTTGCTCCCTTTGCAACTGCAACTGTTGCAATCGATGTTGTTGTTGCCTTTGTAATAAATGTTGTTGGTTTTGATCGAAAGGAGGTGTTGTTTGGGTTTGCATCAGCGGACTCAATCCCGGGGCTTGATTTTGCGCTCCAACGACCCCCGGTTGTTGGATTTGTTGTACTTGTTGAGCTTGTTGTACTTGTTGAACTTGTTGTACTTGTTGCACCTGTTGTACTTGTTGCACCTGTTGTTGTTGCAATATAACGCCTTGCTTAGCTTGTTGTTGCAACCACTGCATTTGTTGCTGAGGTGGGGTTCCTCTAATTACAATATGCCCGGCGCGTTGCAAAATTCTTTGCTTATGCAACTTTTGCACGAAAATTGTTCTCTCCTCAGGGCTCATTTCTTGCAATCTCTGGTGAGTTTGCGCATCTAAATGGATGTATTGCCGCCCCGGGATCACCCCCGGTTGTTGATTCGGACCCCATTGCACTCTCGGAGTACCGATTTGATGCTGAATCACCCCAGTTGGTTGTCTTAAGTGTTGTTGATTCGACTGCCAAATTTGGTGACCCGGTGGGGGGCGAGCACCTTGATTTTGGCCCAACAGCAATTTTTGTTGTTGCTGCTGTTGCTGTTGTTGTGTTAATAAGTGTTGTTGCGAACCAGTTTGAATGAGTTTTTGTTGCACCAATTGCGAGTTTGATTGAAATTGAGTTTGGAAAAATTGTTGTTGGGGTTGATTTGGTTGTTGTTGTTGTTGGAATTGAACGTTTTGTTGCATTTGTTGTAATTTATTTTGGATGAGCTGTTGATTTATATTCGTCGTTCTCAAATTTTGCTGTTGTATATTTTGTTGCTGCAAATTTTGTTGTTGCAAATTCTGTTGCTGCAAACTTTGTTGCGGAGTCATCACATGACGCTGAGCACTCAAAATTTCTTGCTGACTTTGAATCGACGTCAATTCAGCATTTTGATTCGTAATCAAATTTTGACCGCTTTGTTGTTGTTGAATCAGATTCGGCGTACTTGGTTGAATCAAACTCGGAGTACTTTGTTGAATCAAATTCTGACCACTTTGTTGAATCAAATTACTTTGCATCAACCCTTGAGAAGATTGACTTTGATTCGAACTCGATGTCGCCCCCAAAATCTGATTTTGCAATATTTGTTGATTCTGTAAGATTTGTTGCCCACCGACGAGAACTTGACTCGGTGATTGCGCAACGTTTTGATGACTCAACATTAACTGTTGATTCGCGGAGGTCACAATTTGACTTTGAGCTTGTTGCAAAACTTGATTCGCTTGATTCAATCGTTGACTCATCAAGTTCATTTGTTGGTTAGCGGTATCAATCATTTGGTGTTGTTGATTTTGTGGACTTTGTGATTGGAGTGTTTGTTGACTTTGAACACTTTGAGTTTGGAGTTGATTCGGTTGGTTCTGTAAGTTCTGTTGAGTGTGTTGTGTGTTAGTCAGTGTTGTTTGAATGTTCTGCAACAGTTGGTGTTGATTATTTTGGGATTGAAGTATCCCTTGATTTAGATTTGGAACTTGTTGGGGTTGCTGACTTTGCAACACTTGTTGTTGTTGATTCTGCAAATTTTGTTGATTTTGCAGAATATGTTGTTGACTCTGTAACACTTGTTGTTGATTTTGTTGTAAATTTGGTTGATTTTGTTGCAAATTGAGTTGATTTTGCTGCAAATTTGATTGATTTTGTTGCAAATTTGATTGGTTTTGTTGCAAATTTGCTTGATTTTGTTGTAAACTTGCTTGATTTTGTTGTAAATTAGGTTGATTTTGTTGCAGATTTGTTTGATTTTGCTGCATATTTGCTTGATTTTGCAAATTAGGTTGATTTTGTTGTAAATTTGCTTGATTTTGCAAAATTTGTTGCCGATTTTGTTGCAAACTTGATTGATTATTCAAAATTTGCTGCTCATTCTGTTGATTCTGCATAGCTTGTTGACTTTGCAAATTTTGCAAAACCTGTTGACTCTGCAAATTCGGATTTTGCAAAACTTGTTGGCTCTGCAACATTTGTTGACTCTGCAAAGTTTGCTGATTCTGCATACTTTGTTGATTTTGCAAACCTTGTTGATTCTGCAAATTCTGATTTGGCAAATTCGTCAATATTTGATTCTGCGTATTCGATTGATTTTGCAAAATTTGCTGCGAACTCTGCAAATTTTGATTTTGCATCAAATGTTGCTGATTTCTCAACAATTGTTGTTGATTTTGTCCCAAACCTTGATTATTTTGCAACAAACTTTGATTATTTTGCATCAAATCCTGATTTTGTTGGGCCATTTGCAAATTTTGTTGATTTTTCAACATTTGTTGGAAATTCGAGCTAATTTGTTGCACATTTCCTTGGCTAACTTGCACCAAATTCGAACTGGTTTGCGCGACGTCTTGATTTTGAGTCGTAACAACCCCGACAACTTGTTTTTGACTCATAATCTCTTGTTGGACATTCTGATTTAATTGTTGCAAATTTCTTTGTAACTGTTGCGTTTGTATCGATTGCAAATTCGGTTGCTGCTGTTGTTGGGCAACGTTTTGCTGCAAATTTTTCAACATTTGTTGCCGATTTTGTAACTGCAACTGATTCACACTCCCACTTAGCATTTGACTCTTTAATAGTTGCTGCTGGCGTTGCTGCAATAACTGTTTTTGCTGCTGCAACTGTAATTGGACAACACCTTGTTGGCGTTGTTGCCCACTTTGTTGAATATTTTGCACGATTTGTTGCGTTTCAGGAGACATCATCTGTATGCGTTGATTCAACACACTATTCGAACGCATCAACAACTCTTGAGTTTGTATTTGGCCCCTAGTTTGTTGCTGTTGTTGCGTTGTTGATGTCAAAAACGACTCAGAAACAGTTTGTTGTATTTTTTGTTGAATACTTTGCTGCTGCAAACTTTGTGATTGTTGCAAATTTTGTTGCTGCTGCAAACTCTGAGGTTGCTGCAAACTTTGTTGCTGCTGTAAACTCTGTGCTTGTTGTAAACTTTGTTGTTGTGGCAAATTTTGTTGCAAATTCTGTTGCTGCAAACTTTGTTGTTGTTGCAACCCCCTCGCTTGTTGCAACTGTTCCAAAACCCTCATTCTTTGCCCTTCAAGCCCTCCTTGAGGCGTGTGATGCACAATACTTTTGGGAACTTGATTACCCCCCGAAAGAAAACTTTGATTAAACCCAACCTTTTGATTAAACTGTTTTAATTGATTCAATTCTTGGGGTTGCGGCAACTTCGTACTCGCATAACTCGGCGCAACAACATTTGGGGGAATAATTTCGCCCCCGGAAGTCGTGGCAGACTGAGAAACATTCCACGGCATTCTTTGCTTTAATTTTTCTAACAACGCCTGGGTCGAATCTGGGATTATTTCGTTACTCTCGCCGATTTCCTCGGGTTCAAACCCTGTAATAGCGGTTGTACTCTCACCCTTTTTGGGCCAATTAATTAATTTTGGGTGAAAATCGTTTGTGTCGATTAACTTTTTCATTCGGATACACTCTAAAATCCAATCTGGAGTTACAACGCTTATTCTCCCGTCGGATTTAAAAAATTTTTCGTTGTTAACATTAATTGTTATTAAGTGAGTGCAATTCCTATCGAGATTTAATTGAAACGAACCCCCAAAATACGTTATTATCGATGCTAAAACGCCACGATCGTGATTTAACCCCGAAATACAAAAAATTAAGTTCGTAAATAAATTATTTTGAGTATACAAATAAGGCTTAGTATCTAATGATTGGTTTAAAAGCGCTGAATGATATATCCAAGTCGTATTAACCGCTGGGATCTCGTATATATCGTTGGCATCGCACAAATCGGTTTCTTCCGCTTCTTCCCCGCAAATTAAATGGGTCACATAATCTGAGAAGTAATTCATACGCTCACCTCCGCCTTGTTTTAACACATTTTCAACCTATACAAAGAATTTTAATTTTAATGCTAAAAAAGTGAGGTTATGTATACCAACGCTAACCTTTTCAGGAACTTTTCCCGTTATATAGAATCGAACCCCTTTAAAAAGTGACTCCGAAACGGTTATATCTTCATAATCGGGCCCCATTTCGATGGTTTTTATGGGAAAACACAAATTATTATTTAAAATTACATGAACGCTTCGTTTTGGTGGTTTTGATATTGACATCCACCCACCATGTTTGTTTATAAACTAATTTCATGGTGATTACATGAGATGATTATAAATTTATTAATGTTTAATTATAATGTTTAATGGAAGAAAAATAAGATTTGATGGGTAAAATAAATTATTAATTAAATTAAAATTAATTTAAATATTTTTTAGGAGGCGACATCTATGATTTGATAAAATAAGTTAGTAAAAAATCGAATTAAATTTATTTTATTTATTATTTATTTAAAATTATTTGAAATAAATTAACAAAAAAGGATTCAATTTTGAATTATTTCATTAAATAAATTAGAAATGAAATAATGTGTTTATTGACATCCACCCACCATGTTTGTTTATAAACTAATTTCGTGGTGATTAATTGAGATGATTATAAATTTATTAATATTTAATTATAATGTTTAATAGAAGAAAAATAAGATTTGATGGGTTAAATTTATTATTAATTAAATTAAAGTTAATTTAAACACTTTTAGGAGGCGACATCTATGATTTGATATAATAAGTTAGTAAAAAATCGAATTAAATTTATTTTATTTATTATTTATTTGAAATTATTTGAAATAAATTAACAGAAAAGGATTCAATTTCGAATTACTTCACTAAATAAATTAAAAATGAAATAATGTGTTTATTAACATCCACCCACCTTGTTTGTTTATAAATTAATTTCGTGGTGATTAATTGAGATGATTATAAATTTATTAAAGTTTAATTATAATGTTTAATAGAAGAAAAATAAGATTTGATGGGTTAAATTTATTATTAATTAAATTAAAGTTTATTTAAACATTTTTTAAGGCGACATCTATGTTTTGATATAATAAGTTAGTAAAAAATCGTATTAAATTTATTTTATTTATTATTTATTTAAAATAATTTGAAATAAATTAACAAAAAAGGATTCAATTTCGAATTACTTCATTAAATAAATTAAATAATGTGTTTATTGACATCCACCCACCATGTTTGTTTATAAACTAATTTCGTGGTGATTAATTGAGATGATTTTAAATTTATTAATATTTAATTATAATGTTTAATAGAAGAAAAATAAGATTTGATGGGTTAAATTTATTATTAATTAAATTAAAGTTAATTTAAACACTTTTAGGAGGCGACATCTATGATTTGATATAATAAGTTAGTGAAAAATCGAATTAAATTTATTTTATTTATTATTTATTTAAAATAATTTGAGATAAATTAACAAAAAGAATTCAATATCGAATTATTTCATTAAATAAATTAAAAATTAAATAATGTGTTTATTAACATCCACTCATCATGTTTGTTTATAAACTAATTTCGTGGTGATTAATTGAGATGATTTTAAATTTATTAATGTTTAATAAAAGAAAAATAAGATTTGATTTGATTAAATTTATTATTAATTAAATTAAAGTTAATTTAAACATTTTTTAGGGGCGACATCTATGATTTGATATAACAAGTTAGTAAAAAATCGAATTAAATTTATTTTATTTATTATTTATTTAAAATAATTTGAAACAAATTAACAAAAAAAAGATTCAATTTCGAATTATTTCATTAAATAAATAGAAAATGAAATAATATGTTGGTGATTTTTATTGCGTAAAGTTTGCACAACCATCACAGGGAGTTTAGTGACCTGTCAAATCGCTGTTATAGAGGTGTTTGCTGTGTATGTGTCCGTGTTTTGACCCTTTTTTTTCCAACAAACTGCAAAAATCCCGTTTAATCGCGGTCATCCCCACGTTTTTCCGTTAGTTTCGCGTACGGGAAGTTTAAGTATACCCCCCGGGACATGGCGGAAGCGGACAAATTAAACATAGACAGTATTATAGCCCGATTACTCGAAGGTAAGCGTCCCGCGAAGGTCAGAAAACACTTTAATGGCGTCTCTCGATTTCGTTCGGTGTTAACGCCTTAAAAAATTTTCATTCAAATCGTTTAAACGCCGTTTTAATCAAAAACTAACCGCTTTATTCGTTTAATTTAACGTATTTTTGTTGTAGTAAGAGGAGCGAGACCTGGCAAAAATGTACAACTCACCGAAAGCGAAATAAAAAGTTTGTGTTTGAAATCCAGAGAAATCTTCCTGAGTCAACCGATTTTATTAGAATTAGAGGCACCTTTAAAAATATGCGGTAAATAAATTAATTTAAATAATAATAAATAAAACCGCCATTTTTTTTTTGACATAACCTAACTTTTTTTTTTGATATAACCCAACTTTTTTGACGTTTTAATTTTAATTAATTTATTTTTCTAGGTGATATTCACGGTCAATACTACGATCTTTTGCGTTTATTCGAATACGGAGGATTCCCGCCGGAATCGAATTATCTTTTCTTAGGGGATTACGTGGATCGGGGAAAGCAATCTCTCGAAACGATCTGTTTGTTGCTTGCGTACAAGATTAAGTACCCTGAGAACTTTTTTTTGTTGCGCGGGAACCACGAGTGCGCCTCCATCAATCGTATTTATGGGTTTTACGACGAGTGCAAACGCCGTTACAACATTAAACTTTGGAAAACGTTCACTGATTGCTTTAATTGTTTGCCGGTGGCGGCTATCGTCGATGAAAAAATTTTCTGTTGTCATGGTGGGTTAAGTCCCGATTTACAAAGTATGGAACAGATTCGGCGTATTATGCGACCCACAGATGTTCCAGATCAAGGGTTATTGTGCGATCTGTTATGGTCTGATCCGGATAAGGATACTACAGGATGGGGGGAGAATGATCGAGGTGTTAGTTTCACTTTTGGAGCTGAAGTAAGTATTCAATTTTGATAAAGACCAGTTTTTATCTATTTATGTGAATGTTAATTTATATCAGATATAAATTTTAGGAAATCTTCCTCATGTGACGCCTCCTTCTCCTTTGATCCCATTGCCTCCATAATAAACAAACAGATTTAATTTGGTTTATTCATTTTTAAAGATTTGAGGTTAATTCAATGATATTTGACATAAAATTCGTTTTCATTCTCTAAAAATATAAGTCTTCTCAGAATAGATAGGCTCAAATTATTGAAAATTGTTTGGTGTCTGTCTATTTTTATCACAGAACATTGTTGATAGCTATCACAAGATTATACAGTGTTTCAGTAAGTTGTGGCATAAATTTAATCACAAATACTAGAGTCAAAATGATGTGTAAATAATCTAGAGTTTGATTTTGTAATTCTAAACTGGTTTTTATTTTATATAGAATTTAAGTCTAACTAGTTTTGGCCCTTGACCATCTTCAGAGACTCTACAAATAGATTAACATCTCACCTTATCCATTTTACAAACAAGTTTCTTAATATTTCTTTTTCTTTTGTTAAAAAAGATCACATATCAAAGTCGAAATCAGATTATTAGTTACTAATTTACAAAATTAAAGTTTAAAAAGTTATAAAATGAAATTAAGGACGAAGTGTTACAAGTTCAAGAATCATCATGTGGCTTAAAAATCGACGATTTTTTTTAAATCAATGTGAAATGACCCAAAAAACATGTTAAAAATTAAATGGAAGTGTGGAAAAGTGACTAACACTAGATTAACTTTATTTATAAAACATTTATTAAAAGATAACTAACTTCAGGTTTAAAATGTCAACCTCAATTTTGACATATTTGTAATCTTCATTAAAAATCCTTTAAAATGAGTACAAACATGACATATTTATCTTCAATATTAATGAAGTTATGGTCAACTTCCGGTTAAGAATGTCAATTTTGTCAAAAATTAAGGTTGGCATTAATATTTAATACTACAATTAAACTGCTATCTTCATTGTTGCTAACTTCCGGTTTAACGTTTTTTTAGTCAAACTTTTTTGAGATAAGTGCGTTATGTTTGGACTCATTTAAAATGTTTGGCCATATTTGTAATCTTCATTAAAAATCCTTTAAAATAAGTACAAACACGACACATTTATCTCCAATATTAATGAAGTTATGGTCAACTTCCGGTTAGAAATGTCAACGTCAATTTTGACATATTTTGTAATCGTCGTGAAAAATTCCTTAAAATGAGTCCGAACATGATACGTTTAATTCCAATATTAATCGAGATATAAGCAACTTCCGGTTTGAAATGTCAATGTCATTTTGACATATTCTTAATTTTTATAAAATGTCTTAAGATAATAAAAAAAAATTAAGGTTGGTATTAATATTTAAAAATGAAATTGCTATATTCATTGTTGCTAACTTCGGGTTTATTGTTATTTATTCTAACTTTTTTTCTTTTTTGAGATAAGTGCGCCTTGTTTGGACTCATTTTAAAGGTTTTTTTTTAATAAAAAATACATCATGAAAGAACACCATGAAGTTGTCCATTTGTCTATTATATGATAACTAACTTCAGGTTTAAAATGTCAACCTCAATTTTGACATATTTGTAATCTTTATTAAAAATCCTTTAAAATAAGTACAAACACGACACATTTATCTTCAATATTAATGAAGTTATGGTCAACTTCCGGTTAAGAATGTCAACGTCAATTTTGACATATTTGTAATCGTCTTGAAAAATCCTTTACAAGGAAAAAAGTATAATAAAAAAAATAAATATTGAGGTTGGTATTAATATTTAAAAATTAAATTGCTATCTTCATTGTTGCTAACTTCGGGTTTAATGTTTTTTATTCTAACTTTCTTTTTTATTGAAATAAGTGCGTCTTGTTTGGACTCATTTTAAAGGTTTTTTTTTAATAAAAAATACATCATGAATGAACACGGTGAAGTTGTCCATTTGTCTATTATATGATAGCTAACTTCAGGTTTAAAATGTCAACCTCAATTTTGACATATTTGTAATCTTCATTAAAAATCCTTTAAAATAAGTACAAACACGATATATTTATCTTCAATATTAATGAAGTTATGGTCAACTTCCGGTTAAGAATGTCAACGTCAATTTTGACATATTTGTAATCGTCGTGAAAAATCTTTGAAAATGAGTCCGAACATGATACCTTTAATTCCAATATTACTGGAGATATAAGCAACTTCCGGTTTGAAATGTCAATGTCATTTTGAAACATCTTAATTTTTATAAAATGTCTTAATATTTGTCACAAAAACAACAATATAATAAAAAAAAATTAAAAATTAAGGTTGGTATTAATATTTAAAAATTAAATTGCTATCTTCATTGTTGCTAACTTCGTGTTTAATGTTATTTATTCTAAGTTTTTTGTTTTTGGAGATAAGTGCGTCATCTTTGGACTCATTTTAAAGGGTTTTTAATGAAGATGACAAATATGTCAAAATTGACGTTGACGTTTCAAACCGGAAGTTATTGTATCTCCATTAATATTAAAGTTAAATATGTCGAGTTTGGACTCATTTTAAAGGATTTTTAATGAAGATTAGAAATATGTCAAAATTAAAAGTTGACAGTGCGTACTTTTTGGTTTTTTGAGATAAATGCGTTAAGTTTGGACTCACTTTAAAGGTTATTTTATGAAGATTACGTATATAATAATAAAATTAAAGTTGACATTGACAACTGAAAGTTTTTTCACGACTAACCTCGAAAAATATACAACATAGTAATATCTTATGCTAACTAGCGCTACCTACTACTGCCACTAGAACTAACACTAGACCGAAAACTAGAAACATTCGGATTTAGTCCCACGTCTCTCAAGACGGCTAAACCCGAATATTTCTAGTTCTAGGTCTAGTGTTAGTTCTAGTTTTACAATTAGTGCAATAAAAATATGCAACATAATGATATCTTACGTTAACTTAATGACATTTTATAAAAATTAAGATGTTTCAAAATGACATTGACATTTCAAACCGGAAGTTGCTTATATCTCGAGTAATATTGGAATTAAAGGTATCATGTCCGGTCTCATTTTAAAAGATTTTTCACTACGATTACAAATATGTCAAAATTGACGTTGACATTCTTAACCGGAAGTTGACCATAACTTCATTAATATTGAAGATAAATCTGTCGTGTTTGTACTCATTTTAAAGGATTTTTGATGAAGATTACAAATATGTCAAAATTGGGGTTGACATTTTAAACCTGAAGTTAGTTATCATATAATAGAGAAATGGACAACTTCACCGTGTTCATTCATGATGTATTTTTTATTAAAAAAAAATCTTTAAAATGAGTCCAAACAAGACGCACTTATTTCAATAAAAAAGAAAGTTAGAACAAAAAAACATTAAACCCGAAGTTAGCAACAATGAAGATAGCAATTTATTTTTAAATATTAATACCAACCTTAATATTTATTTTTTTTATTATATTTTTTCCTTTTAAAGGATTTTTCACGACGATTACATGTATGTCAAAATTGACATTGACATTCTTAACCGGAAGTTGACCATAACTTCATTAATATTGAAGATAAATATATCGTGTTTGTACTCATTTTAAAGGATTTTTAATGAAGATTACAAATATGTCAAAAGTGAGGTTGACATTTTAAACCTGAAGTTAGTTATCATATAATAGAAGTTTTATAACTGAAGTTAATCTAGTGTTAGTCACTTTTCCGCACTTTCTTTTTATTTTTAACATGTTTTTTGGGTCATTTCACATTGATTTAAAAAAAATTGTCGATTTTTAAGCCACATGGTGATTCTTGAACTTGTAATACTTCGTCCTTAATTTTATTTTACAACTTTTTAAACTTTAAATTTGTGAATTAGTAACTAATAATCTGATTTCGACTTTGATATGTGATCTTTTTTAACAAAAGAAAAAGAAATATTAAGAAACTTGTTTGTAAAATGGGTAAGATGAGAGATGTTAATCTATTTGTAGAGTTTCTAAAGATGGCCAAGGGCCGAAACTAGTTAGACTTAAATTGTACATAAAATAAAAGACATAAACTTCTTGGTGTATCTAAGTGTCGTATCTAAGTCGGTTCTTAGGCATATGATGCAAATCTTTAAAACAAAGGTATTTTAGGTCTTTTGGTATTCTGCATTTTTTCTAAGATAAGTTACACCTTTACCTACCAGACAGCATGAAAATCTCTAAAAACGATAAAATGTCACTTAGTCACGTGTTGTATAACGCGGTCCATTTGATCTAAAATTTAAAATTTTTTATTAACTAAGCGGTTGTTGTAAACTCTGTATCAAACGCTATTTAAAGCTTAACTTGAAGTTAATCGAATATTAATTTTGGTTTTTAAAGTAATTTAAGATAAAACTAAACTTGTTCTTAACATATCATTAACCCTAGGGTAGACAAATACATTAATATCACGTATCTAAAAAAAGAAGTTTATCAGTAAAACTAAAGTTGTCCGCCACACTTGTTGGAATAAAAAACAATTTCTTGTCCAGGCTTGCTTTTTGATAACTCTAATATATTTAATAAACAAAAAAAAAAAAGCAAAAGTCTGTGTCGTTTTCAATTTCAGTTACCTGTAAAAGAAGGAGAAACTGTTGATTTTGTCATGGCACTGTTTTTTGACTTGTTTAAATAAAATACAAAATAAAGCTGGTGTAAAGTAAAATAAAAAGGAATACTGATACTTACTGTAAAATTGAAACAGTTGAGACGTGACTTGTAGTAAAAAGGTGCTGGTAAGACTGCTTCCAAATCATACACAGCTAATTGTATTTCTAATTTTTTAGTGTTTTCTTTGTCCGCTGCTTTTTCTGTTCGACTCAATTCTTTTTCGTCCTGATACTTCTTCTGAAGTTTTTTCCTCTCCTGCTGAATTTTTATATGCTTCACACTGATCACATTGGTCTTTTTTAGGCAAAACGAACCCAATGTTGAATTCAGTATTGAATATACGTGAATAAGTATGATAGTTAGCTATTGATTTATTAACAGCAGAATAGTAATCTATAAAGTCTCTTGAGGTGTCTTTTCTTATGTAATGGTTCTCAATGCGGGGTATGTAATTTATATGATACCTGACAGGGTTCAAAACCTCTTCAGAAATCTTCTTTTCATTGTTATGTTTATCTCTTTTATTTGAAGGTGCAATTCCAGTTCCACTTCCTCGTCCTTTCTGTTATTCCCAAGGTATTTATTAAGAACATTTTGCATACTCTTACCTTTTTATCATTAATCATGAGATAAAAAGCACAATTAGGCTTTCTTGATTCTGCGGCAGATACGCAACGGTATTTTAGGTTATCAAGAAGTCTCGTTGGATCTGAGATTTTCTAGCAAGATCTTTGAACAACATAGAACACATACATCTTTACAATGAGAGCCCATCTTTCGGGACTCAACAATTTTCCATGTTCTTGAAGTGTAACTTTGCCATGAGTTCTTAAGTAATTTATTTTTTACTTTTTTCCAGTTTTTACTTTGTTCCAAAAAGCCAAAAAGTATACTGTCAGAAAAGTTATTGCTATTTAATCCGAAAAGAATACGTTACAGAGCGCCCTCTACCGGTTATAGTAAAACGGACTCCATAATCGTCTTTCTCATGCCAAAAAACCTCCGTATAAATTCCCCGTCCAAATTTGAAAAGAATCGGTTGAAATACACGTCTAATATAAATAAAAATCAATTTAAAAATTTAATTTGAACACCCTGTATCTCCAAAACAAAGCGTTTGTCGACCTATGTTTATATGAAGTTTTTGTGTTCATTTTGAAAGATCTATCGACTCTTAAAGTCCTGCTACAAAAACCTGAAACACCTGTATATATATACTCCAGATCCTTTACCCTCATTCCCCCTTTCCACACCTTCGCCTCATCGCCCCCATCACCTCCCTCATCCATCTTTGCCCTCGCCCCCCTCTTACAAAATCTGCTTCCTGTCCATTGCCTCCTCACACATCCTACACCACCTCTCCACATCGTCCGCCCAGTACCTATTCCCCCTCCACTCATTGCCAGAGCTGAATCTGGCCACCAATCTCTTCCCTTCATCACTATTCCGTCACTATTTCCTCATACCTTTCATTTTATCTCCCTTCTCGTATCCATAGAATAACCAGAAATGACATTGACGTCGATTCATTTTATGTTGGCGGCACCTCGATTTAAAATCAAAAGTATTAAGGTCCGTTAAGTAAACATACTCCATAAGGTTATCCAACTCCCTATGAACGCTGTTGTTATAAACGTATCCGTCTTTAGAGACGTGCGGCTAAACACAAATGATTCTAGTTCTAAGTATAGTGTTAGTGATAGTGCTAGTGTAAAACTAGAACTAACCCTAGAACTAGAATCATTCGGGTTCTGAAAACGCACTGCTAAACCCAAAACTGTCTAGGTCTAGTGTTAGTTTTAATTCTTATGCAGCGCTAGACCAAGAATTAGAATCATTCGGGTTTAGCCGTCTTAGGAGACGTACGGCTAATCCCAAATGTTTCTAATTTTAGGTCTAATGTTAGTTCTAGTGACAGTGCAAGTACCTAGAACTAGAATCATTCGGGTTTAGCCGTCTTTAGAAACGTGCGGCTAAACCCAAATGATTCTAGTTCTAGGTATAGTGTTAGTTCTACATAGTTACAGTGCTAATGTAAAACTAGAACTAACACTAGACCTAGAACTAGAAACATTCGGGTCTGAAAACGCACGGCTAAACCGGAAACTTTCTATGTCTAGTGTTAGTTCTAGCTTTAATTGTTATGCAGTGCTAGAACTAGAATCATTCGGGTTTAGCCGTTTTAAGAGACGTACGGTTGACCCAAATGTTTCTAGTTCCATAAGTATACATATAGTATATAGTAAGTTCCATATAACCAATACTCAACGGACCTTGGTACAGAATAACCAGAAGTGACACCAGCGGTATCCCGCCAAATCTTTACCACCAATGGCAACATACCTTGGTAATTCGCTATAATATGGCGTCAGATTTGGCGGGATACTGTCACTTCTGGTTATTCTGCGTCGTATCTGTGACCTTCTTTCCTGCCTCTGTATGTCCCTGTCCCTATCTCCCAGTTCTCTCCATATTTCACCTTTTTCCGCTCTTCTGTTTTCGATCCCAGTTAGTGAATATCCTACTCTTCTATGATATTCTCCCCTGTCTCTTTGCCCATAGATCAGCCTCCTCTCCTTAATTTTCCTCCAGCACTCTTCCAGGATCCTGCAATGCGGTCTTCTCCCAGCCTCCACCCTTACTGCATCCACCTTAACCTCCTCCCTCACTACATATCCTGAAGTCTCCCTTGCCTTGTTCCATCCTTAAGCAATCCTTGTTCTCTCCATCCCCATATTTCTGCGCCGTACATCATTGTGCCCCTTACCAAGCCATCAAACATAACCTTTCTTTTAACCACGTACGCCCCGACCTACCCAGGTACATGTACTCTTTCACTTGCTCTATCTGTCTTCGCTGCCACCTTCATTCCTCCTTCTTTCTTTGCCCCACTTTGCAGAATTTCATTATCTTTGTTTTCTCGACGTTTACCTCCAACCCCTTTGCCTTAAAATATCTTTCCAGGGACCTCATCATCTCCTTAATCTCCACCACCTCTCTAGCCATGACCACCAAATCGTCCGCATACGCCAAAGCGTGCACTTTTGTTCCTCCTATCACCACCCCACTAATTTGCCCCTTCACAAGTTTCTTTCAAGTCTACCTTTTTCCAGTTATTTATATTTCGTGATCTTTTTATACCTTTTTTGGTTTCATTTATGATTTCTGTGTCATTATCATTAATAGCTGGGGTGTCATTAGGCTTATGACTTGAATCCTCCTATTTGCGTTTTCGCTACATGAAGGTTCGTATTAATGATTAGAGCCCTATGAAAACAATTTTTAAGAGTCACTACCACAACTGGAAAAGTATTTACATTGTTCAACTTTTTTTTTTTAAATAACTTTAGTTGAACTTGCATAACCATCTGATTGTTCTGTTATTTGTTTAACTCATGAATGTGTTTCCACCTTCATTTGTTGCGTCTCTGAGTTCTTTCATTAGCTCATTATTTTTTATATTTACTTTTTCTTTTTGCTTCATCATCTCATTTGCCATCTGCATGATTTCACCCATTATTGGCCTTACAAGAAAAATAAACGGTATAAATAAACCTTTAATGTCAAAGCCTTGAATTACCAATACATTTTGCACAAGAAAAGTTGATAAGGTTCACAAAAACAGCACTTTTTTTTTTTAACTCGTATTATCAAACTGAATAACATCTTGTAGTAATATAAAAGTAATAAGTACCATGGCCTATGCAGTTTGGAATATCGGACATGCTATGAAATAAGTGAAAATGATTAAATAAATATACAATCTCAATATACATATAAGGAATATATTTATTTTCTTGTCACTTAAATTATTGATTAATATAGAAATACTACTTGATTTAAATCATTGATTAAAGTCGTGTTTTAAATTATGCGATTTAAATCTGGCGAATCGTGCACTGCCAGCAGTATCTAGTCATCTGGAAAGTGTATTTGGTCCCCTACCAGTAATATCTAGTCCTCCGCGAGCAGTATTTAGTCCTCCGTCAGCAATATCAAGTCTTCTGGCAGCAGTATAGTCTTCTGGAAAGAGTATTTGATCTCCTACCAACAGTATCTAGTTTTCTGGCAGCAGTATAGTCTTCTGGAAAGAGTATTTGGTCTCCTTCCAACAGTATCTAGTTTTCTGGCAGCAGTATAGTCTTCTGGAAAGAGTATTTTGTCTCCTACCAGCAGTATCACGTCTTCTGGCAGCAGTATAGTCTTTTGGAAAGAGTATTTCATCTCCTACCAACAGTATCTAGTTCTCTGCGACCAGTGTTTAGTTCTCTGCCAGCAGTATCGAGTCCTCCGTCAGCAGTATCAAGTCTTCTGGCAGCAGTATAGTCTTTTGGGAAAGAGTATTTGATCTCCTACCAACAGTATCTAGTTTTCTGGCACCAGTATAATCTTCTGGAAAGAGTATTTGGTCTGCTACCAGCAGTATTTAGTTTTCTGGCAGCAGTATAGTCTTTTGGAAAGAGTATTTTGTCTCCTACCAGCAGTATCACGTCTTCTGGGAGCAGTATAGGCTTTTGGAAAGAGTATTTGATCTCCTACCAACAGTGTCTAGTTCTCTGCGACCAGTGTTTAGTCCTCTGCCAGCAGTATCGAGTCCTCCGTCGGCAGTATCAAGTCTTCTGACAGCAGTATAGTCTTTTGGGAAAGAGTATTTGATCTCCTACCAACAGTATCTAGTTTTCTGGCAGCAGTATAGTCTTCTGGAAAGAGTATTTTGTCTCCTACCAACAGTATCTAGTTTTCTGGCACCAGTATAATCTTCTGGAAAGAGTATTTGGTCTCCTACCAGCAGTATCTAGTTCCCTGCGACCAGTGTTTAGTCCTATGCTAGCAGTATCAAGTCTTCTGGCAGCAGTATAATCTTCTGAAAAGAGTATTTGGTCTCCTACCAGCAGTATCTAGTCCTCTATCAACAATATCTAGTCCTCTGCAAGCAGTATTTAGTGTTCTGCTAGCAGTATCTAGTCTTCTGGCAGCAGTATAGTCTTCTAACCGTTCTTTCTAAACACTGCCGCGTTATTTTTGTCTAATAAATAAATTAAATCATGAACAACCTAAGTTTGAACTTTCACATCAAGTTAAAAAAAAATTTTTTTTGATTTTCTAGGTAGTTGGAAAATTCTTGCACAAACACGATTTCGATCTGATATGTCGTGCTCATCAAGTCGTCGAAGATGGTTACGAATTTTTCGCTAAACGTCAATTGGTAACATTGTTTAGTGCCCCAAATTATTGCGGTAAAAAAGTGAATTTTCAAGGAATTATTTTTGAAATTAATGAAATGAATTGAAATGTTTAGGTGAATTTGATAATGCAGGAGCAATGATGTCGGTGGATGATACGCTGATGTGCAGCTTTCAAATATTGAAGCCAGCGGATAAACGGAAGTTCCAATACGGAGGGTTGAACGCGAGTCGGCCTGTGACGCCACCTCGCGCCACCACGAATAAAAACAAGAAAAAGTGAAGTAAATTATTCTTAAATTAGGTTTACGACGTACTTTCTAACGGTAGTAAGAGTTATTATTAATAATAAAATAAAAAAAATGAATAATAGGGGCGCCGTGAGTGCGAGGTACGATAATTATTATTATTATTAAAAGAAGTAACACAATTACAAAGACAAGAAATAAGTAAAAAATAAAGTACATAAATTAATAAAAATAAGTTTGTTCGCCCCCCTGGCGGTTAGAAATCTCGTAAGAATCCCTCGTGCCGCGAATCCGCCCCGTTAAGTTCCCCCCAAAACCCCAACGTCCCTCGTCGTTTCTTTTTTCCTTTTCTACCTTCTTAAATAAATGAAGATTCCCGAAACGTTTTTCGTTAGTTATTTTTATTAATATTATTATGATTTTTTCGTTTATTTTACGATCGATTAAATGAATGAAATGATGTTGAAAACGTTTATATTTAAAAAAAAAAATAAAAAATTGTAAAACCGATCCGTAAAGGAGTATGTCCACGAACGTTCGAAGTATATAGAATTATAAATTACGTATGATGACACATTTGATGATAATTTCGTTTGTAATTTTATTTTATTTTTTTCTTTTTGTAAATAAATCATTTTATTAAAATATTGAGCTTTTTATTTAAAAAGAAAATTTAAAATTGTATCTCGAGAACAAATTTAGATATCATAATGAAATAAAGAAAATGTTTTAAAGCTAATATTTAATGATTTCGATGATTACAAGTAGTGTAAAAATGCCGATTCTAGAGCGGAAGTTAATAAAGTATAGGGAGGGGTACCAACCAAAGTTTGGGGGGGGAAAAATTAGGTTGGTATTAAAAGTAACTAAAGATCTAGTGATTTTTAGAAAAATTTAAATACAATGGCGCCACCTATGGTTTAGTGGTGTAAGTACTAGATTTAGAAATTTTTTATGAAATTTAAATATAATGACGCTAGCTATGATTGAGAATTGTAAATTAGCGTAACTTGAGTTGAAAAATTAATTGGTGGTGGTGGTGGGGATATAGGATTAAAAATAAAAAAATCATTACATTTCAAATTAATAATAAATTATATTAGCATAATATGAAAAACAATATATATAATCTGTAACATATGAAAACTTAGTGTAAAAGTAACAATAACCAAATTTTTTAAATTAGAAATAAAAAATTTAAATGATTAACTTGAAATATGACTACATTTAAGAAATAGATACCGATGGAATTTCATCATTTGAACCAATCTTCTTTATAAATTCAATCTTTTGCACAGTACATGCGTCTTCGATATTGTTGCAATTAAAGCAATAATGATCGATGTTCATACAAGAATCTACACAATATGGAATGCAAACGCACGGCCAACATCTAGTAATAATAAGCATTTTATTGTTTTTGATAATTACAATTTTCCCTTTAATACATCCTAATATACAGTGCTAGCGTAAAGTAACCCCCCCCTTTTTAACTTCCGAACAGATTGAGATATCAATATGAGCAAAAAAACGTCAGGTTCTATATTTTATCAGCACAAATATTTTCTTATGGAAAATTTTGCTATCACTTTTAGTTTTTCCGGAAAATGGATCCACTTTGTTTTTTTAAATGGAATACCGAGTATATTATGGTATTTTCCGAAAAATGAAACCAATACGAATCCAACGGTACCTCACAATCAAATATCGGTTTATTAGTTTTTCCCATAAAAATTAAACAAAATGCGGAATTTCGCCGGAAAAACCAACGTATCTTCGTCGACTATCTGTCGAAATGCAATCGGCCAGTTAAATGGTGGTCGGTAGGTATACGCTCGAGCTAAGACGGATTTAAAATTGATAGTTCCCTTACTTATTTTTGAAGTATATTAAATTTATGAATTAATCATATTTTATCAAAAAATATTTATAAAGAAAAAAATCAAAGTCAATATAAGAAATGAAATTTTTTTTATTAAAGATTTTGCCGTCTTGGTTGAAAAATTGGCTTAGTGTTGTTATTGAATAATAAAAGAATTTTTTATTTATTAGGAACAAACATTTTTGTAGTGTTTCCTCTCACACGGCTTAACATGTGATGATCAATATTTTGGCAGACGTCAATAATTTCGTCAATAACACCATAAAAAGAAATCTAAAGGTGTCAGATCTGGTGATCTTGTTGGCCATTCAATCGGCCCACGTCGACCGATCCACCGTCCATTAAAATTTGTATCAAGATAATTTCGTACCATTGCCACATAATGTGGAGGAGCCATTTCAAAATCGTCAGGATTCTGGTGTACAATTTGCAAAAGACTTGGATTAATATCTTCTTCTAATAATCTTAAATACAATTCCGGTCTAATTTTCGGTTAGGAATATTGGTCTCACGATGTGATTTCCCAATATGCCTGTCCAAACATTTATTTTCTTGGGAAATTGAGTGTTAACTTCACGATATTCATGTGGACTAAAATCACTCTAGTAACGTACATTTTGCCGATGCAATTTTCCATCCAAAAAGAAAGTACATTCATCACTGAAACAAATCTAAAAATATTTCCCCGCCGTTGTTGGACCCACATCACACGTTGATGCGATAGCAGCAGACGACATCATGCACGCATTAACTACTTCTGTTAACATCTGCACTTGTGTGTCTTCAGAAATCGAACGACGACCAGTTCTTTTGCGGTCCTCGACGCTTCCAGTTTCCAAAAACTTATTTACAAGTTCTCTTAAATATTTTCGACTAATTGGATGTTCAGGAAATCGTTCATTAAATTGTCGCTCTGTTTCATGTACATTTCTGTCAGCACGAGGGAATATTAAAATTCCTCCGATTTTGTGCTCTAAACTCCTTCTAGCCATTTTGATCTCGCTTTTCTTTGGTTATACTTGGTCGGGTAGAATTCCAAGATAGAAATGAAGGACAATATTTGCATGCTGCCTTAAATAGAAAATTTCAAGGTACCTACAAACTTTAAAATTGTTGTTATGACAATTTTTTCTTAGAAGTTTTAAGAAGAACTTTCTTTTTATCCTTTTCTTGCATTGATTGTTTCATAAAAACATTCTAAAAGAATTGCTGATTTTAACCCTGCTTAACCCGAGCGTAGACCGACCTTTAACTGACCGTCCACTATTTATCTGGCCCATTGTATCTCGACAGGTAGTTAACGAAGATGCGTTGGTTTTTCCGGCGAAATTTCGTATTTTGTTTGATATTTATGTAAAAAACTAATAAACCGATATTTAATTGTGAGGTATCGTTGGATTCGTATTGTTTTATTCTTTCGAAAGATACCATAATATACTGGGTTATCCATTTAAAAAAACAAAGTTGATCCATTTTCCGGAAAAACTAAAAGTGATAGCAAAATTTTCCATAAGGCAATATTTGTGCTGATAAAATATAGAAACTGACGTTTTTTTGCTCATATTGATATCTCAATCTGTTCAGAAGTTAAACAGGGGGGGGTTACTTTACGCTAGCACTGTATGTCATTAGTATATTATTTTCACCCTCTTCCTCCATTTCCATACCCTCGGCCCAATCCTCTCCTCATCCATCCCTTTGTCTCCTCACCCCCACAACCATTCTCATGCATCGTTTCCCCTCTCTCCCCTCTCCTAAGATCTGCCCCCGGTCCAACTCCTTCTCCCTCAACTCACTGCACCCATTCAACATATGTTCCAACGTGTCCCATTCCTCCCTGCATAGCCTACACCACCTCTCGTCATCGGCCACCCAGTATCTGTTAGCTCTCTCCTCGTTTCCACAACGGAACCTAGCCACCCACTTCTTCCCTTCCTCATCTCCTTCCAATAACAAGTATCTAGGCAGCCCCTCCGTAATTAGGTCCCTGTACCTTTCGTTATACCTTCCCTCTTTTATTTGTGTCCTTCTTTCCTGTCTCTGCACATCGCGGTCGCTATCTCTCAACTCCCTACCCACCCTTCGTCTACTATTTATCTCAGTTACCGAGTAGCCCGCTCGTCTATAATAGTTGTCTCTGTCTCCTTTCCCATATCTGATCTTTCCCTCTCTAATTTCCCTCCAACACTCCCCCAAGATCCCGCAGTTTGGTCTCCCTTCTATTCTTTCTTCATATTTCACTGCCCTCCTGCATTGCCTGCTCTCTCCATCCCCATATTTCTGTCCCATACATCATCACACTGTTAACCAGACCTTCAAACATAATCTTCCTCGCTGCCACATTCCTTCCAAAGACTCTCTTCTCCAAACCCCATACTTGTCCTATCACCTTATTCGCCTTTTTTGCCATAGCTATCACATGCGACCCCTCCGTGTTGTCCTCCCTAAACACATACCCCAAGTAAGTATACTCCCTAACCTCCTCGATCTCTTTTCCCTCCCATCTCCAGTTTTCTGTTCTTTTTCTCCCATCCTTACAAAACTTCATCATCCTTGTCTCCCCACATTCAATTCCAGCCCCTTCCCCCTAAAATATCTTTCTAATGTCTTTATCATATCCTTCATCTCCGCCGCTTCTCTCGCCATGACCACGATGTCATCCGCGTATGCTAACAGATGCACCTTTCTACCTCCCACCACCAACCCTCCCATTTGCCCCTACCCCAATATATCCTCCAGGTCCGCCGTATACAGTGCAAACAGACTTGGGCTCAGCGGACATCCCTGCCTCAGTCCCTTCGTCGTCCAGAACACGTCACTCAGCTTATCTCCCACTTTTATCCTAGCCATAATCTCCATGTATATTTCCTTCACTCTCGCAATTAGGTGTTACGTCCATAGACAAACATTGACACATTGAGTCACATTGACAACTAAAAAAATTAATGACCCAATGTCACCAACTTGAACTGGTTTCATAAAATGTTACTAAAATCTCATTACAGCATCGGATGCTGTAAGGAGTCTCATTACAGCACCCGTTTGAGTACTGTTATAGCTTTCATTATATTTGAAGGTGCTAGCTGTTTGTACGATAACTCTATAAGGTTAATAGGCTATACACATCAAAATATTTCATAATTCTTGCTTTTAAACCATATTTGCAACAATTCTTTTTTATTGAAAATTTCTGTTCAAAATATACAATGGAAATAAAACTATTTTTAGTGCATAAAATTCTTTAAAATTTTGATATTTACAAGTTTTTAGTGCATACTTTCCTGATATATATCTTGAAGCGCGAAATAAAAATATGAATTCTGAAAATACGACTTGAAACATTAATGTAGTGTAAGTGTGGTTTTAATTAATTAAATGACAATTAGCAAATATACACAAGCAATAATTATTAACAAAATTGCTGCAAGTAAAAGTATTTCATCTCGATCATCCATTGTCTCTGTATCAATTCTTTTTTCGAAAACAAGTACTGATTAACAGCTAAATGTTTTTAATAATTAACCGAAATATGGGACTAACTGATCACCACCGTGATCACTCTAATGTGTATCAAAATGATCGCTTATGATATCTACGAGTAGCTTAAATCGTCAGTGTTGCAGGATTCTAGCGCCTCGCCCGCAAGCGACCGCGGCGAAGTAAAGATAAACAACTTCTTATGCAAGTGTTGTATGTTTGTGCAAGTGTTGTTGACCAAGTATCTTGCAGAAATTACATCATTCAGTGTGAGGGTAGGAAATTGTT